TTTTTTTTTTTTTTTTTTTTTTTTTTTCTAATTTTAGACTTTTTAGTAACTTCGGCAAAACTTCGAGTCTCATGAAGGACCCATAACGAGAGCAGGAAGTTATCTGGTTCTCAGAATACGATAAGTAAACGTGCTAAGGGCGAATATGGTGAAAACGGAAGAGCGATGCTTAAGGAGAATAAAGTAAAAGTATAGGGAGAGGTTTCAGCCGTATTCCTCTGGATCCGGGTAGGTTCCGGGAAGATGCTGGAGCAAATCGAGCGGAAAAAGTTTTGCTAAAGGTTCCTAGAAGTTCGTTACTCTTTAACGAGAGCACACCTAGTATTTCCGTATCGTTGTACATAGATACAGTGTTGTCTACAGTACCTCCCGTACTTGATGCTGTTCCTTCGGTAGGTAAGGTGCTTCAATTGATTTCAGTTTGGATACCAGACCCAGTTATGACCTCAGAAACGCCATTCATTCGGCAGTGAGCGACGACTTTGGCAGGAGGACCTACCTCAACATGGACGACGTCCATCGGGCCAGGTTGAAGGTGAACAAAGTCACATTGAAGGATCAGGGTGTTTTCCGGTGCCGCGTGGACTTTGTCAACTCGCCGACGAGGAGCTTCTGGGTGAATCTCACCCTGGTCGGTGAGTAGTGCTTGACGAGAAGAGAGTGGAGTATCCGGAGGTCGGACTATCACGTGGACGGGATGCTGGAGGTTGAAAAGCGTAGCTACTTCACGGGCAGGATGCTGTAATGAAAAGTTTTTCGAGCGTAGCGAATTCTACGTATTTTAACACGGTAAACCTGGCTACTCTTCTCTCTCTCTCTCTCTCTCTCTCTCTCTCTCTCTCCCCCTCTTCCGCAATTCCTCTAACCGTTCGCCATTTTTACTCTCTTGATGCTTTCATCCCGTGACGTGGAACACCTCTCGCACCCTAGCCTTCCGCTCGACAATCTGGAAATAAAATTTTTACAATCGTCCGCCTGGTGACGCGACTTTCACTTGTGGGAGCAAGTAAGGACTTTTAAAATGCTGCAAATCGAGCGGTTCGTTCAGAGTACTTCCGTTTTAGCACCCTAGCTCTTGTGCAGTTCACCAACTTCCGGCGGCCCCTAGCCGTCGCTCATTTGACATATCTCACATTTCTCTACTTGTTTTAACAAAATTATTTCCTTCGCAACTGCCATCCGTTTTTCTCTATTCTTTATCTAATTCCCTTTGGTTCACTCCAATTTCCTCGTGGCGTCCACGTGCCTCCTTCAAATTTCCCGCGCCTGCGGCATTTTCAGGGATGACAAGAGCCACTCTTTAGATTCTACAAAGTGTTACTCGTGACGTGGATAATTTTTTATACTTTTCCAGAACAGCCAACCGCCCCAGTAATTTATGATGCTCAAGGCCGGGAAGTTACCGGCGTGGGTGGACCCTTTCTTGAGGGTTACAGCCTCATTCTAACCTGCCAGGTGTCAGGTGGTAAGTACCGTAAAAGGGTTAGACCTCTTTAGGTGTATTTCGTGTCTTTCAACATTAATTTAAATATTTCAGATAATTTACTTTTGCTCCAGACAATTTACAGTCGACATTAATTGGCTTCTTGTGTTCCTCTAACTTTGACCTTCGCCTGGATTTTTCACGAGATAAAGTGATCTCTGGTTACGTCAAGTAGAAATGACCCAGAGGCGTGAAATAAGAGTCCGAAGTAGATACATTAGCCTGGCCAATTGCTTACTAACCTCGCTTTACCTAGGGGTTCGCGTGTAGGCACGGCACACGCACACAGTCCATCACCCTTTCACCTTTGAACTTTCATACTCTTAGCTTCCTTCCCTCTTGATAGCCCAATGCCTCTTGATTGAGTCTCGATAGACAAAGACGAATTAGCATCGTAATTGGTTTGGATCGGTGGCGACCGATGCTCGCCAAAGGTCAGGATGTTCAGGCGCACTTGGCGAGCCATTCGAGAGCCATTCGAGAGCCATTCGAGAGCCTGGAGGTCTGTGCCGGCCACCGAGAGTTACCTCCTATTGTTCCAATCTACGGCGATCTGTTGAGCTTCGACCCTTCTGTTGATTCTTATGTATCGTCCTTGCCGAATACCAAGGGCACTGAGGGTACTCAGGATACTCAGGATACTAAGGAATTTCATCAGGACGAGGATATCGCCTGCGCACACTAAGAGCCACTTTATGGAGATGATTTATTACCCACTCGAAGATTGCCTATACTAGACCATATAGACCACGTTCCCCTAGGAACGACCCAAGACGCTTCTAATTCGCAGCGATGGCCCTATCGAATTAATTTCCTTACTTTCATTCTTCTTTTCGGATTTTTAGGTAAACCGAGACCTACTGTCACGTGGTGGAAAGACGACGAATTACTCGACGGCGTTATGGATGCGCCATCGATCATTGGAACAGCCAGGAAATTTACTATTAATCAACTCTTTGTGGAAAAAGTCACAAAGTCCTTATGGGGCACCAGGCTCAAGTGTCGCGCGCAGTCCGGTTCTTTGGGGAAACCGATAGAGCGCGAAGTCCCATTGGATATTTACCGTAAGTGTTGATGAGTTATCTTTCGATTAAAAATTAGCCGAGTCCTCGGTTGAGGGTGGTCGAATAATTTCTTGACTTTGAGAAGATTTTTCATATACATATACTTCGAAATCAGGACTGGCTATACTTTTTTTTTATAGATTTTTCTCAACGTCGCATGTTTATTTGCACGCAGTCAGTGACACGTAGCGACGAGACGTAATAACCCCATGGAGAACATCCTGAATATCACGAGCGGCACTTCTGGGGTAGATAGGAAAACGTTGTCTCCGTTTGCGTTCGCGTTGTCGTTGGCGCTTTTTACGAGGCATAATTTTGGGCAGGAAGGCCAACTCGGGATTTTCGCAGCGCGCGAAACGGGCTGGTGGGCGGCGGGCAAGGGGGGAGGGGGCAGCGACGTCGAAAATAAACTTTACTGCCAGCCCAGTTGGACTTCCATTAATTTCATGACTAGAGTTTCAGGGGTGGCCGGAGTGGAGGGTAGATTCACCGTGAGATTCGTAAACCTCCGCTTGGCTGGGATGAGTTTCGGCCGTGGATACGGAACGGCGATTCTCCAGAGACTCCTCGGCGCTTCGCGAATATCACTTGAAATATCGCCGCGCTAATATTCAGTCTTATATTAAACCGACTAGAAATTGAAACATCTCGAAGCGGAAAATGAATGGAAGGTGGAGGAAGGTGGAATCTCGCTCTGCCGGCTAGACGCGCCAGGACGAAAAAAGGAAAAGGATATAAAGCATGCCGGAGAATGGCAGTATGGTTCTCTTCGTGACTGTATCTCCTTCTCCTTGCGACGTCGAAGATCAGTCGGGCCGATTTTATTGGGATATCGGGGAGTCGACGGTGGCGCCCTCATCTCGTACGTGTCACCCTCCAAAAGAGGAATCTAATAATAGGTCCTCCTGGAGCGGGTTGACCGTCGCGTTTCGTGCCTGCAGGAAGCTGCTGGAACGCCAGTCCGATTGCTGGGCGGTTCGCGACGTTTCTTTGAGGATCGCGTTTCTCGGAAGCGTCGACCGATTTTAAATACGCCGCGTGTGGTGGACACGTGGCTTCCTTTTCCCCCTTGCCCTTGCCCCCTTCCGGCCCTCTCACCTCCTCGCCCTCCTTCCTGCGCTCCTATCCTCTATGCATGCTCGTTGCTCCGGTTCTTTAAACTGATCACGATGATGACTTCTTCGGAACCAAGACCTTCACCGGATACGGTAGCGCCAGTGCAAGGTGCTTCGTGCCTGCAGGCCCGGTGGCTTTTTTTATTTTCTGCAAACCATACTTAATTCGCATGCTTCTGTTATTTAGCTGGAATGACCATCGTATCCCATTTGTTTTTGAAATTGCCCTTTTACTTTTATTTCTTTTGCCCTTTATCTTACCCGTATCGCTCTTTCCCATTTAATATCAGCTGGCGCAACCGTCCTATGCCGATCCTGATAAAGACTCCGAGCAAGCTGAAGACTCTTCGTCGTTTCTAGATTGGGAAGAAAATATTTTATACTTGCCTTTTCTTTAAGGAAGTTGCTCCTCTTTCTTTTTTCTTCTTGGGATCTTATCTACTCTAAAATTTCACCAGTTGGTAATTCTGGACCTCCATTTACCTTATCCGTCCGTTTCGTCGAGTTGCTCGGTAGGTACTGGATAGAATCGAACTTTAAATCAAGCCGCTTAATCACGGCAGGGCTCCACGACTAAGACCGACGCCGACGCTGGCCGCCGTCCGTTCGCCGACAATTAAAATCCACTCTCCAACTCCTTTCGAACTATTTTCGTTTAAAGGTTCGTTCGTAACGCTAGAAAATATGTCTACTTGGCTGCGGATACATTCTGAATTATATACTCGAAGACGGAGTTTTCCACGAGGAAAAGTGTCCTCTCCGTGATCCTCCGTCATCTACGTGGAACTGTCCAGAGTCCTGGAAGAAAATACGTCAGAGTCCTGAATGTAAACGTAACCTAAGACACGAGGAGAATTGATCTCGTAGATTCAATCTCGCTAAGTAAAAGAATCTAACGCCGGAGCCCAGAGCCAGTGTAGGCAATGGGCTAACAGCAGGAGGAATCATAACGGCAGGCGTCGTCTTCATTTTCGTGTTTTCCTCGGAATCCTGTAGGTTCCAGTCTACATGCTCCTATATGAAATCTATAGCGTACGCGTTCATGTATACATAGCCCGTGATACATAAGGAGTACCTATGTATGGTATATGGCTTGGACTGTCCATTCGTTTTACTGGGTTGCCCAGCTCCGTGGCAGGAGGGTGGAAAAGTAAAAGCCGCGATCCCATTCTCGCATGCTTCCAGACACAATGACTCCCACAGCCCAGTGGAACCGTTTATTCTCCGCACACAAAACTTCCACGAAGCTGATAAAGCCGGGATTCCTTAATTTACAGCTGATTGCGAGCGAAATAACTACGTGGGGCTCGGAAGCCGCCCCTGGCTTTAGCGCTCCAATCGATGGGGAGAAAATACTTGGAGCGGACCCATAAACACCTGCCGTTTCGAGCACCAAAGGATCGGCCTCACCCACCCACCGCCCACTCTCTCCTGCTTTTCTTTGTCATTCCAGTTAAGGCGAAGCACCCGCCCAATTTTTTCGATGAGAACGAACAAAATTGACAACTAACCCCATTACGCCGTTAAAATTCGACTTTACGATATGACCACCTATAAAACGCTTTCGCTTGAGTCTCCGGAATTAAAGGAGCCTCGTTCGAGCCAGGAGGGCCAGATGAAAAATAGAAGAGAGAAAGAGGAAAATTGTATCGCGACGACTTTACGATTTTACGATTTTACAGTGAAGCCAGCGGCGGTGAAGATAATCCTTAACGAGGAGCAGATCTACGCGGGACGTCCTATTGCCGCCCGGTGCGAGACCTGGGGCAGCTCACCGGCGGCCAGGATCCTCTGGAGACTCGGCGGGGTCGTCCTTAGGGATCCCAATGTGGCCACCACGCAGAGAACTAATTCCACTGTGAGCAAACTGGCGCTGGTCGTAGACAAGGAGGACGACGGCAAGGAGCTCGTCTGCAGGGCTGAAAATCCCAGGTTCCCCGGTGGAGTCCTTGAGGAGATCAGGATACTCCACGTGGCCTGTGAGTACGCTCTGACTTCTTTTTGCGCCTTACCTCACGACCTTCCACCTTATCCTCCTCTTTGCACGAGGACATCCTGAGGCGTTTGACATTGTACAAGGTACTTGAGAAAATGAACAATTTCGAATTGTCAGACTCTTCCCCCTCGCAGCCAAAAGGGTATTTCCATGAATCGTGACCGGTTTTACAAATTCTCAATCCGACTAGATTCTAGTCGGACTCTTGTGTACGAAGCTTGAGGATTTTTCGAATTCACCTTTCCTACTCGAGGAATGTGTCTCTCGGGCAAGGATTTAGTCGACCTAACAAGGGATGATCCTGCCGCGTGCTGAGCTTTCGCTTCCAGTGAGACTTTTCTAGTAACTCAGGTACCAATTGATACTTTTAAAACTTTTAAGACATTCTTTATTGCTCCTCCATCTACCGATACCTTACAGTGAAAGACAATCAGTATCCAGATAATTGGACCTCTTTAATATTGGATTCGATTACAGAGACGGCTTACTCTTTTTATCCCTTCGGCTTTTTCACCGTCGGGGAAAATAATCAACGACTTTGTTTAGCATTGTTATCAGAGGATAAGTGGAGGACGTAGATGATGGAGGGAATGGCAAATGTTGTTAGGGTGCAGAGGGGTGCTGACGGTTGTCAAAAGGGAGAAGAGAGCGGTTGACACGGCCCTGGGAAACGCGGGGCTGAAGTAAAGTTCGAGTAACACAGCATTCAGCGAGGTGCGAGCACATAGTGCAATGTCGTGTCAGCCTGCCGCATTCATAAATTGGTTACAAGTTAGACGCAGCTGTCGCGAGATCTGCTTACTCGTGTGTGCCAACTGAACCGATCCAGGGGGTGTATCCTTTCGAAGTATGGAGGATGTGACGTAATACGGGAGGGTAGAGAGTACCAAGTCAAAAAGCTGCTGTAGGACAGACAGTACCTTAGTGCAGTATTTAGGATAAGCATTTTTCACGAAACAGAATATAATTGATTTTTCAAATAGATCCACGGAATTTCATTTACTTGTATTTCGAAAGGTCCGTCGAGACTGGGGTTTATCTCACCGGGCAATAAATGCGGTCGAAAGTACCGGATTTCAGTTTCCCAATTCGATTCCGTTGGCTCCCAAGTTTCCTTGGGGGTTGAAGGGCGGGTAAGGGCCGAGAAAAGGGTAAGCTCGAAACGAAAGAAAAAGATTTCACGGGAAAGTCGCACAAGCGGAAAAGCAGAGGGACCTTTCGTCTAAATGCGCACGAACGTGCGCTACTCATAAATGTTTACGATTGGCGTTTCTTTTTCTGAAGGCGGAGGACGGTAGTCACCCTTAAAGAGGAAGCGACTTGGCCATTGACATTAGCGACTAATGAAGTAACCGTCCCCCCCCCCAGCCACCCTATCGGCACCGAAGGAAAAGGCTCTCTCTCTCTCTCTCTCTCTCTCTGTGTGTTTTAGGTGCGGCTGGCACGTGAAGGGACTTCACGCTTCGTTTCGAGTCGATTAAGGTTATACCTATTACCTTCTCTCCTGCCCACCGTTCCTTCGCACCTTTCATCATCCCTCTGTCCCTGGATCCATCTATTTCTTGGTTAATACCTCGCTTCAGACTAATGGGAATAACCAGGGGAGAACTGGCATTGGGAATTAGCCTTTAAGACATTCGGGAGAATTGAGGTAAACTTCGATTCTCGCAGGACTGTGGAAACTCACAAGAGCGACTTCGCGATTCTCCTACAGTAGCGAGAGTAGAGCTCCTGGAGAGACAAAAGAGAAGGATGTAGAGAGAGAGAGAGAGAGAGAGAGAGAGAGAGAGAGAGAGGGAGGGGGGGCAACGATACGAACCGTATCTCAAGGAATGGGGTGAGGACATGGTAGGTTCACGAGGTTAGGGGTTGCTTAGCTAAGGGTTCCAACAAGATCCGAACCTGATCAGACTCCGAGGTGGCCGTTTGCATTCTGATGGCCGGACCCCCCATAAGGTTTCCCAATCCTATCGACTATCCTGATCTTGTCCTCCCACGCGTGGAATTCTCGGCGACCCTCCGAATTCTCCAGTTGCTCCTTCTTCCTGCGCCCTCCTCCCGTACCGTCCATCCGCTACAATAACACTACTCCTTTTCTCTTGGTGCAACCGAATTTTCTCCAATTCTGCTTCCCAGCCTCTTCCATTCTAGTATACCGGCCGTCACTGTTTTTCTAGTTCCATTTCGATTCTTTCGATTTCCCCTACCTCTTCATCTGCAGCTGCAGCTGCACTGTGTTGCTAGGAACGGAAAAAGGAACGAGAAGAAAATTCGTCTCGTTCCCGATCGCGTGACCGGATGTCCTCCTTCGGTTGGCAAGGGACGTCGAAGGCTCTGACCAACATTTGCTTTTACGATGTAGAAAGTAATTTCGGAGTCTATGTAGACCAACCACCCATCGTTTCCTTTGGTTTGTCAACTTCAGCTTGGATGCCAGTCTCGAAGTCTCCTAATTGTCGGAAGGGACCAAGTGTAGTTTCGAAACAGCTAGAAGACGCTTGAGAGTAACTTAACGAAATCCATTGTTTATTGTAATATTTTTTTTTATTGCTGCAGATCCTCCCGTTGTCGTGACCAATCTGGCCGTGGGATACGTTTTGGACACCCTGCGGGAGGGCGACGACTTGAAGTTGGTCTGCGATGTCCAGAGTAACCCACCACCTACGAGCATCGTCTGGTATCACTACGTGAGTGCTCTTCTTCTTACTCGTACTCTTTCTCTCTTTTTTTCTTTTTTCCTTTTTTTTTTCAAAGAAATGTGTTAATTGCATTTCTTGTTAGTCTTGAGAAAATGTAGAATACCGTGATGCGAGTGCATTGCATTCTCCTAGATGCACAAGATGCACAGGGGGAAACGAAGGGTGGGTCGAGAAGAAAAGGCACATTGACAAAGGGAAACGACTTGTAAGAAGAAAATAGAAGCAGTTTCCGTCTGTAGATTCGGTCGGTCGACATGTCCCAGAGGGTTGGTAGCACTGGTAGCGTTGGTAGCACTGGCAAGTTTGCGAGTGCTAAAACAAAGCGTAATAATGGCAAAGGGAATATAACGCGATGGTTCGTGTATCTCGTGGCACGAAGATGCAAAATGAGAACGTGCTTGGAAGGCTTGAAGGTGCGGGGCTCAAAGTGCAGGGCACCTGCATAGCAACACCAGCGGTACGTTCCTGCCGAAGTGCTTCTTCGCCCGCAGCTGTATACATATACGCACCATCTAATTGCACGCGCTATACATATGTATATATAGTGTATATCCGATTACATTTATTCTCCTTCTCTTTCTCTCCTTCGCGATTTCTTTTTTCTTTCCTCCGATTTTTGTATTGCTAGATACGGGAGGTCGAGAAATCGATGGTCTAGAAAGAAAAGGCAAGACTTCCGGGTGGGAAACACGGAAGGCAAAAGCAAACAATGGGGAAGAATCGTGCCGAGAATGGGTCCTGTGTTTTACGTCAAAAATATAATAGTGGATACTGCTATCGTGTGATTCCATTGAGCAAATAGCGTCGGTTTGTGCAAACAGCGGAGCAGCCCATTCAATTAGGATGATCGGTCGCTTTCAAAATTATAAGCAAAATAAACATCATTGCTCCGTTTATCGACGATCTTGCCTCGAGTTATCAACCCTTGTCTTCTCTCTCTCTCTCTCTCTCTCTCTCTCTCTCTCTCTCTCTCTC